AGTCTAGTCTATAGTCTAGTCTATAGTCTAGTCTAGTCTATAGTCTAGTCTATAGTCTAGTCTATAGTCTAGTCTATAGTCTAGTCTATAGTCTAGTCTATAGTCTAGTCTATAGTCTAGTCTATTAGTCTATAGTCTAGTCTATAGTCTAGTCTATAGTCTAGTCTATAGTCTAGTCTATAGTCTAGTCTATAGTCTAGTCTATAGTCTAGTCTATAGTCTAGTCTATAGTCTAGTCTATAGTCTAGTCTATAGTCTAGTCTATAGTCTAGTCTATAGTCTAGTCTATAGTCTAGTCTATAGTCTAGTCTATAGTCTAGTCTATAGTCTAGTCTATAGTCTAGTCTATAGTCTAGTCTATAGTCTAGTCTATAGTCTAGTCTATAGTCTAGTCTATAGTCTAGTCAGAGTATACCACTGTGATCTATACCACAGTCTGTTCTACAGTCTTTAGTATAATCTGAAATATATATTTTTTTGTAGACTTTTCCTACCACCCTCGCATTTAATATTACATGGAAGCCATTGTAACTAAAAGTATTGTTGCACTTAAACTAATTTTACCGTTGGGTTCAAGAAAAACTTTAACTTTATTTGCATTTTAAATTTGACAATGCACATACATCTTTTCCTACACACATACGCACACACACACTCACAGTTAATAGCAAATACTACACAACTACTTATGTAAGTACCTACATAGCATCGCAAGGCACTGGGTTAGACAAACGACTATCGGACCATCCTAACTACCGACTGCATCGAATTTATTATACTCTGCTTCATTTGGCAGTATGTTGTGGTTTTACCAAAATGAAAATATTTTTATTTCTTTCAAAGAAAATTATTTTCTCTAACCAAACCAAGAAGAATTTAACATTTAAAATCTTTTAGCAAGAAAAAAAGAACATGGAGAAATTCTTGCAACTGACCAAAATGTTGCAAACATTTTGATTAGCAAAAGCTCAAAAGTATTTTTCGTATAACTGATACTAGATTTTGCTTTATTACTTCTACTTCATACTATTGTACTCCTGGGTTGAGCAGGATGGCTGTTGCTTATTTTGATGTTTATAGTTGGTCTTATAATTTAACTATAAAAATTTGACTATAAAAAATTAAACTTTTGTTTATACATATTTTATTTTTTTGTTAAAGACAATTTTAAACTTTTTTTTATCCTCTGGGTTCCACTATGGACCATTATCATTTCCGGCTCTCAACACCCACAAAACATGAACAATCTACAAACAAAGTTTTTCATTGCTGTTTATTGTTGTAGTGTTTAGTTCTTCTAGTATTTACTGTTTTTTCTTTTCTTCTGTGTATAGTGCTCCTAGCGAAATGATCCAGGCTGTTCATAGTGGCTATCGCGGTTAGACGATTTTCATTGCTAGAATAGTTAAGAACAGCAACGTCTCGATTGTCTGTATGACAGGGCAACTTGATACCTTGACTTCTTGCAATGCTACTGGGATATTTTGCTAGAAAACAACTATGTGTGTGTCTGTTTGAAAGCATCCCCTCTTATGGTTCTCTAATTTAGCTTTAATTAAAAAGCAACAACAATAAATTAATATCTGGTGAAGAAATTAAGTGAATAATGCAACACTACTATACAACATTTCATTATCGTTCCTTTTATATTCTTTCTGCCAGAGTGTTTAAATGAATTATTCAAGACAACATACTACATTTCAAATGAGATCTTTATGTAGTTAATGTTGTTAATTACATACTTTAAAAGCAATAATGCTTTTCACACATTAATTTAGTGACCTATTGTACTAGACAAGATAAGTCGTAAGGTAAAATAAATATTGGAATGTAATTTAAACAATAAACTCGACAACAGTCTAAGTGAACTAAAGAGTAATTTATAGTCAACATTAATATCAAGTCTGTTATAGTCTACAGTGTGGACTCTATTCTGTTGTCCTTTCTAGTCAATAAACTTTAGACTAGTCCATATTCCTACCTATATTTTAGTCTATAGTCCAGGCTTAAGTTTAGTCCAGTTCTGAGTTTCTAGTTCACACTATAGTCTATTTTATACTTTAGATTAGCGTTTATGGTTTAGACTATATTCTATATTCGAGACTATAGTTTAGTTAGGTCCATAGACTATAGATTGGTCTATATTCCAGTCTAATCAATAGTCTAGAATATAGCCTAGTCAATAGTCTAGACTACAGTTTAGTTCATGGTCAGACAAAAGTACAGAATATTGTTTAGTCTACAGTATAGACTATAGTTTGGTCTATACCGTAGAATATAGACAACTACAACTATAGTCTACTCTGTAGACTATAGTCTAGTTTATAGTCTAGTCTATAGTCTAGTCTATAGTCTAGTCTATAGTCTAGTCTATAGTCTAGTCTATAGTCTAGTCTATAGTCTAGTCTATAGTCTAGTCTATAGTCTAGTCTATAGTCTAGTCTATAGTCTAGTCTATAGTCTAGTCTATAGTCTAGTCTATAGTCTAGTCTATAGTCTAGTCTAGTCTATAGTCTAGTCTATAGTCTAGTCTATAGTCCAGTCTATAGTCTAGTCTATAGTCATAGACTAGACTAGACTAGTCTATAGTCTAGTCTATAGTCATAGACTAGACTAGTCTATAGTCTAGTCTATAGTCTAGTCTAGTCTATAGTCTAGTCTATAGTCTAGTCTATAGTCTAGTCTATAGTCTAGTCTATAGTCTAGTCTATAGTCTAGTCTATAGTCTAGTCTATAGTCTAGTCTATAGTCTAGTCTATAGTCTAGTCTATAGTCTAGTCTATAGTCTAGTCTATAGTCTAGTCTATAGTCTAGTCCATAGTCTAGTCTATAGTCTAGTCTATAGTCTAGTCCATAGTCTAGTCTATAGTCTAGTCTATAGTCTAGTCTGTAGTCTAGTCTATAGTCTAGTCTATAGTCTAGTCTATAGTCTAGTCTATAGTCTAGTCCATAGTCTAATCTATAGTCTAGTCTATAGTCTAGTCTATAGTCTAGTCTATAGTCTAGTCTATAGTCTAGTCTATACTATAGTCTAGTCTATAGTCTAGTCTATAGTCTAGTCTATAGTCTAGTCTATAGTCTAGTCTATAGTCTAGTCTATAGTCTAGTCTATAGTCTAGTCTATAGTCTAGTCTATAGTCTAGTCTATAGTCTAGTCTATAGTCTAGTCTGTAGTCTAGTCTATAGTCTAGTCTAGTCTATAGTCCTGCCTATATAGTACAGTATTCTGGACTATACTCTAGTCTATAGTCTACATTCCTGTCTACAGTTTAGTTTATAATTTATTTTGTAGTCTAGTCTATAGTTTAGTTTGTAGTCTAGTCCATAGTTTTGTTTGTAGACTAGCCTATAGTCTAATTAATAGTTTAGTATTTAGTCTGGACTATATTCTATTCTATAATCAAGTCTATTGTCCAGTCTATAGTTCATATTATATGTCTATAGTGTAGGCTTCAGATTATAGATTAGGCTATAATCTTGTTTACAGTCTAGACTATAGTCTAACTATAGGCCAGACCACAGTATATACTTTGATCTAGTCTCCCTTCCAGACTATAGATTATTTTATAGTCCAGACTAATTTCTAGTCTATAGTCTAATAATCTGCACTATAACTTGTATATATTCGGAACTGTAGGATAACCCACACTTTAACTATAGTGTAAACTATTTTAGCAACTACATTGAAATTATCTACCTCGACCATTATTTATCGCCCTAAAAAATTCTCCTTGAACTTTGACAAAACACAATGTTAAAGTTCAAGAAAAAATTTACTACTTTTTACGTGCATGTGTGCAATATCCTTCTAGCGCTTTATTAACCCCTAGTAATTTATCTTTTGCTGCTACTGTTTAGACATCATAGACGTTCAAAATTACTGCAAACAATTACCAACTCAGCAGTTAAAACTTATGAGCAATGGTATATGTTTCACACTCTCTGCTTAGTTTTTAATTTAGAACATTGTTTGAAAAACAACAACAATTTGTAATAAAACTGCAGTAGAGGTAGCAATAATACAAGGTGAGACGTCATAGCAAAATAATTCAACAACCATCAGGTAATTCATCTAACCAACTCCCTCGACATCAACACCACAGCATCGTGCTGTGCCAAGCCAACTCGCTTACATTAATAAACAACAATTTCTATAGGAATTCGTTTATAGAACGCGTTTGAGGCAACAACACTTGTGTAACTGAGTACAGGCAAGGAAAAAGTGGAGCAATAACACTACTCCCACGACCACCACTAGATTATCAAGTTGTTGATATTGCTTGCTCTGCATTGTTTTTCTCATTTAATTTTTTCGCACTTTTATACAGTGTAATAAACATCAAGAACAGGCAGTCAGTCATTCATTTACTAAGTCTGCCACTTACAGTAAACGAAAGAAAGAGAAAGCGGTAGAAAATTAACTTTTTCATATATTTGACTGCATTCTTCACAGCTGGAGAAACAATGACCTTTATATTTAAAAATAAGTGGAAATAAGAAAATTATTTTTGTGTAAAAAATAGTCTGAAAATAAGGAAATTAAGAAAATTTCAAACAATTATTATCAAGTGCGAAACAATGTTCAAGTTACAAAACCATTTCTCTGGAAAACTGTAGTGAAAGAATAAAATGAAAAATTTCCCTCCTAAATAAAATTTCAGAGAGCTTAAGTTGAATTGATTTATCCCTGATTCTTAAGAATAGCATTTTCAGATCCATTGATAACGTATTACCACAGGGAAGCTTATAGCGATGAATTATCCTAATAGATACGATATTCTCTTTAGCCGATCGTGCATAATTTTAGGATTATTGAAACCTTTAGTTAACGCATCCAATTTCTTTTAAAGGTTAAGTTTATATCAGTTATTTATGAATCTATTTGGTTAAAATATTCCAATAGAAAGTTAGATTTAAGAGTACCACTTATCTATCATGATCTATAGGCTTCACTTTTTAACCCCATAGTTTCTTCGTGTATAACAAAAAATACGTTTCGATTTAAAAGTTCAATATGATTTTATTAAAAAATATTTAATTTACTTAAATACCAGTGTGGGTCTTGATCCATTCCAAATAGCTGGTGACACGAGTGAAAGCAGCTGGGTAACCCTTGGCGCAACCGGCAGAAGAACCGAATGAAGTCAAACCAACTTGGACCTTGGAGGATTCCAAAACCAATGGGCCGCCAGAATCACCTTGGCAGGTAGAAACACCTCCAGGAGTAGAAACGCAAATGTTGGAAGAAGTGATAATAGAACCATAGGTCTTAGCACAGGCAGTGTTAGAGATGACACTCATACGGGCCCATTGTAAGTTAGTAGCAACACCACTGGCATCCGAGGTACGACCCCAACCAGAAGCAATAACCTTATCACCGGTATAGGTGGAATAAGAGCTGGCAATGGCGGGCAATTTAACAGCCTTAATCTTGGCAGTATAAGCAGTGGAGGGGATCTTGATCAAGGAAATATCGTTCTTCAAAGTTTTGCTATTCCAGCCGGAATGAATGATGATATCGCTCTTGCTAACGGTGTGTTTAACTTCAGCCGAGGTGCGTACAGTGGCACCCAAGTAAACAGTAACAGATTGAACACCATCGGTACAGTGGGCAGCAGTCAAAACCCATTTGTTGCCAATCAAAGAACCACCACACCAGGAGGAAGAGGTGGCACTAAGTTTCAAAGACAAACCAACTTGATAGGGGAATTGACCGGCGGCAGCATTCTGGCCGTTGGTAATGCGTCCTTCAGTTTCTACCACAGGAACAACGACATTACGTTGAGTAATTTCAGCGCCACGTAAATCGAAGGCATTGGCCGAGGCCAAAGCTAAAGCAAAAAGTACTAAGAATTTCATGTTGCTCTTGTTGAAAAAAACAAAACAACTACTGATCCCCTTATGCCAATCAAGGGCCATATATAGTGAAAATTTTGACAGATCTAGCTAGTAGATAGAACATGTTATCAATTCACTTCCTAGATAATATTGATATTTAAAAAGTACTGAAGTGAAAGTGTCTATGCCTAAAGCTATTCGATTAAAGTAAATGGAATACTTTTTAAAGTGGCCAATATTTATCTTATCTTACTCCCACAAACGTGTAAATAAAGTCCGTGCTGAGAACAAACACTTCAAATTATTAAAAAGTCATTAGTTGTCACACTTTTTCCAAGTATTGTTTCAGTATGCTAAATTTAGTACCATGATACTGACAATATTTTGTGGGTTTTTTCTTCTCTAGATAAAGATAAGTGCAGTGATTTTTAATTATTTATTTTTATATTAATCACTTAATATTTTGCCAAAGAGGTAAATACTTGATACCAATATCTTATCAAAATATTGGTCGTCATAGTTCTCTAATATTCTTAAAATTTTATGTCGCAATTCTCTTATACTATAGGCAGTATAAGAGAATTGGGACAGTTGTGGAACTAAAATATTTAAAATTATCTTGAATTATCAAACACAGACATACTTGATGAAGAGGTATTAAATAATAATCCCATAGATCAATTAAAAAGTCGTGAAGCTTTACATTTCTTTATCTATATATTTTTTCAAAATGAGATAATTTAATTTAATAAGAAATACCAGTGTTGACTCTGATCCATTCCAAGTAGCTGGTGACGCGGGTAAAAGCAGCGGGGAAACCTTTTTCACAGCCATCCATAGCACCGAAAGAAGTCAAACCTACTTGAATATTGCTGGATTCCAAAACCAATGGGCCACCGGAATCACCTTTGCAGGTGGAGACAAAATCAACAGTAGAGATGCAAATGTTAGAGGATGTAACAGTGCGACCATAAGTTTTGGCACAGACAGCATTGCTAATCACCTCCATGCGAGCCCATTGCAAATGGTTAGCGACACCAGTGGCAGAGTCACCCATACGACCCCAACCGGAGGCAATAACCTTCTCACCGGTATAGGTGGAATAAGAGCTGGCGATAGCAGGCAATTGAACAGGTTGAATCAAGGCGGTGTAAGCGGTTTCAGGGATTCTGATCAAGGAAATGTCATTCTTCAAAGTTTTGCCATTATAGCCACTGTGTACGATAATATCGCTGGGTTTAACGGTGTATCTAACTTCAGCCTTTGTACGTACGGTGGAGCCCAAGTAAACTGTAATACCTTGTACACCTACAGTACAATGAGCAGCAGTCAAAACCCAACGGTTGCCGATCAAAGAACCACCACACCAGGCAGAGGATGTAGGGCTAAGTTTCAACGACAAACCAGCTTGATAGGGGAATTGACCCACAGCAGCATCCTGGCCATTGGCAATACGACCCTCTGTTTCAATAACAGGCACCACTACATTACGTGAGTAGATTTCGTTGTTGCGCAAATCGAAAGCAGAAGCTGTGGCTAAAGCCAAAGCGAAAACTATTAAGAATTTCATGTTGCTCTTGTAAGTGATTGAAACAACTGGTACTTTTACCACCTCGAATTATCAGCTTTATATAGAAAATTTGAAATTTGTTAAAAACTATAGATATTGCTGTAAAATTGTTCGACAGATTTTGTTATAAGTTTACTTATTCTATACTAGATCAGATAATAAACCTTAAACTTAAGTGTGAAAATCCCAGTTAAACATACATTACTAGATAAGCCTGTTATTACCTCTTGATTTAATCGAAATTAAATGTGCACACCATTTCTATGAGAAATAAAAATAATGTTCTAGGCTTGAGGGGAAATTGTTCACTGCTGTGGAGATATAGTTTGAGGAATATAGAATTCGCCTGAAGACCTTTACAAGATATTTCAAAAAACTGATATTTTATGACCAAAAATCCAACTTTTCATTAAAAATCCAAATATTTATTTAATATATAATTTTTCACAAAAAAAGCGATTTTTCACTAAAATCCAAATTGTCGCTTAAAAGTAAATTTTTCACTAAAAACTTAAAATTTCACAAAAATTCCAACTTTTTTCTAAAAATTCGATTTTTCACCAAAAAATCGACTTTTGAATGAAAACCCGATTTACCACCAAGAGTACAATTATTTTATAAAAAAGTGAATAATATAATTAGTTAGTTATCCGTTAGTTTCGGTAGTAGTTAGTGAAGTTAGTAGTTAGTTAGTTAGTTAGTTAGTTAGTTAGTATAGTCGTTCGTTAGTTCGTAGTCGTTCAGTTAGTTAGTAGTCGTTAGTTAGTTAGTTAAGTTAGTTAGTTAGTTAGTTAGTTCGTTAGTTAGTTAGTTAGTTAGTTAGTTAGTTAGTTAGTTAGTTAGTGTTTAGTTAGTTAGTTAGTTAGTTAGTTAGGTTAGTTAGTTAGTTAGTTAGTTATTAGTTAGTTAGTAGTTAGTTAGTTTAAGTTAGTAGTTAGTTAGTTTAGTAGTTAGTTAGTTGTTAGTTAGTTAGTTAGTTAGTTAGTTAGTTATGGTTCGTTAGTTAGTAGTTAGTTAGTAGTTAGGATAGTTAGTTATTAGTTAGTAGGTAGTTAGTTAGTTAGTTAGTTAGTTAGTTAGTTAGTTAGTTAGTAGTTAGTTAGTTAGTTAGTTAGTTAGTAGTTAGTTAGTTAGTAGTTAGTTAGTTAGTAGTTAGTTAGTTAGTAGTAGTTAGTTAGTAGTTAGTTAGTTAGTTAGTAGTAGTTAGTAGTTAGTTAGTTAGTTAGTTAGTTAGTTAGTTAGTTAGTTAGTGTTAGTTAGTTAGTTAGTTAGTTAGTTAGTAGTAGTTAGTAGTTAGTTAGTTAGTTAGTTAGTTAGTTAGTTAGTTAGTTAGTTAGTTAGTTAGTTAGTTAGTTAGTTAGTTAGTAGTTAGTAGTAGTTAGTTAGTTAGTTAGTTAGTTAGTTAGTTAGTTAGTTAGTTAGTTAGTTAAGTTAGTTAGTTAGTTAGTAGTTAGTTAGTTAGTTAGTAGTTAGTTAGTTAGTTAGTAGTTAGTTAGTTTTAGTAGTTAGTTAGTTAGTTAGTAGTTAGTTAGTTAGTTAGTTAGTTAGTTAGTTAGTTAGTTAGTTAGTTAGTTAGTTAGTTAGTTAGTTAGTTAGGTAGTTAGTTAGTTAGTTAGTTGTAGTTAGTTAGTTAGTTAGTTAGTTAGTTAGTTAGTTAGTTAGTTAGTTAGTTAGTTAGTTAGTTAGTTAGTTAGTTAGTTAGTTAGTAGTTTAGTTAGTTAGTTAGTTAGTTAGTTAGTTAGTAGTTAGTTAGTTAGTTAGTTAGTTAGTTAGTTAGTTAGTTAGTTAGTTAGTTAGTTAGTTAGTTGTTCGTTTAGTTAGTTAGTAGTTAGTTAGTTAGTTAGTTAGTTAGTTAGTTAGTTAGTTAGTTAGTGTTAGTTAGTTTAGTTAGTTAGTTAGTTAGTTGTTAGTTAGTTAGTTAGTTAGTTAGTTTAGTTAGTTAGTTAGTTAGTTAGTTAGTTAGTTAGTTAGTAGTTAGTAGTTAGTTAGTTAGTTAGTTAGTAGTTAGTTAGTTAGTTAGTTAGTTAGTTAGTTAGTTAGTTAGTTAGTTAGTTAGTTAGTTAGTTAGTTAGTTAGTTAGTTAGTTTAGTAGTTAGTTAGTTAGTTAGTTAGTTAGTTAGTTAGTTAGTTAGTTAGTTAGTTAGTTAGTTAGTTAGTGTTAGTTAGTTTGCCGATTTTAAGATTCCATTCAATTTTCCTAAAAAACGTTTTTTTCACTACAAATTCGACAATTTTTACTAAAAAATCGATTTTTCACTAAAATTTGTTTTTTTTTACTACAAATTCGATTTTTCACTAAAAAAAAACTATAGTTCCCTAAAAAATCGATTTTTCACTAAAATTCCTATTTTTTCGCTAATAAATCGATTTTTCACTACCAGTTCGATTTTTTTTCATTAAAAGTTCGATTTTTCAGTGAAAGTTATATGTTTCACTAAAAATTCGATTTTCAATACATATACGATTTTCATTAAAAGAAACCTATTTTTCATTAAAAACAATTTTTACTGAAAATGCAGTTTTCAGCAAAACTCACGTGTTTCACAAAAAATCGAAGTTTTACTAAAAATTGGATTTATTAATAAAATTCTTTATTAATATATATTTTCTGTGGAAATGGTGTATATTTAAAATGATTACGATTATCTATTAATTATAAATGCTAACGTGCGTATCGATTGACTGGGATTTTAACACTTCAGTTAAAAATATATTATCTGATTTACAGAGAATATAGGAAGTTAATAAAAACAAGAAAAACCAAAATTTTTCATAATTACTTGAATAAGACATAAGTAATAGATTAAAACTATAAAAAGGGCTAATGAAAATCAAACCCCTAATACTTACATTATCTTGAATTAATTATCACAACATTATTATATGACGCAATTATCAAATTTTCTTCTTCACTATAAAAAGAAATTGGCGAACGAGGATCAGTATCAGTAGTTTGTCTGCTTCCCTAGAATAACATGAAATTCTTAATAGTTTTCGTTTTGGTTTTGGCCTCGGCTTCTGCCTTTGAGGGTCGCATTACAAATGGCCAAGATGCTGTCATGGGACAATTCCCCTATCAAGTTGGTCTGTCCTTGAAATTGGATAACTTCAAATCTTCTTGGTGCGGCGGTTCTTTGATCGGCAACGAATGGGTTTTGACTGCTGCTCACTGCACCGACGGTGTCAAAGCTGTGACCGTATATTTGGGTGCCACCGTACGTACCCAAGCTGAAGTTAAATACACTGTTAAACCCAGCGATATTCTCATCCATCCTGGCTGGAATAACAAAACTTTAAAGAATGATATTTCTTTGGTCAAGATTCCCGAAACCGCTTATACTGCCTTGATTCAACCCGTTGAATTGCCCGCTCTTGCCAGCTCTTATCCTTCCTTTGCCGGTGATGAGGTTATTGCTTCTGGTTGGGGTCGTATTTCTGACTCTGTGACCGGTGTTACCAACTATTTGCAATGGGCTCGTTTGGAAGTTATCAGCAATGCTGCCTGCGCCAGAACTTATGGTGGTACCATTACCTCCTCCAACCTTTGCGTCAAGACTCCCGGTGGTGTTTCCACCTGCAAAGGTGATTCCGGCGGCCCATTGGTGTTGGCATCCTCTGGCGTTCAAGTAGGTTTGACTTCTTTCGGTTCTATTTTGGGCTGTGAAAAAGGGTTATCCAGCTGCCTTCACTCGTGTCACCAGCTACTTGGAATGGATCAACGAACACACCGGAATTTCTTATTAAGTTAACGGATTACTTGAAATTTAGCTTTAAATAATTGAATAAACTGCATATTTATTTCAAAATAAATAACAATTTTTGAAAAAAAAAAAATTATATTAATATTTTACTGATACTTTATCTTCAAAAAGGTGTGACTTAACTCAACTTGCAAGTATAGTCTTGTCTATAGTCTAGTCTATAGTCTAGTCCTATAGTCTAGTCTATTGTCTATTCTATAGTCTAGTCTATAGTCTAGTCTATAGTCTAGTCTATAGTCTAGTCTAGTCTAGTCTATAGTCTAGTCTATAGTCTAGTCTAGTCTAGTCTAGTCTATAGTCTAGTCTATAGTCTAGTCTATAGTCTAGTCTATAGTCTAGTCTATAGTCTAGTCTATAGTCTAGTCTATAGTCTAGTCTATAGTCTAGTCTATAGTCTAGTCTATAGTCTAGTCTATAGTCTAGTCTATAGTCTAGTCTATAGTCTAGTCTATAGTCTAGTCTATAGTCTAGTCTATAGTCTAGTCTATAGTCTAGTCTATAGTCTAGTCTATAGTCTAGTCTATAGTCTAGTCTATAGTCTAGTCTATAGTCTAGTCTATAGTCTAGTCTATAGTCTAGTCTATAGTCTAGTCTATAGTCTAGTCTATAGTCTAGTCTATAGTCTAGTCTATAGTCTAGTCTATAGTCTAGTCTATAGTCTAGTCTATAGTCTAGTCTATAGTCTAGTCTATAGTCTAGTCTATAGTCTAGTCTATAGTCTAGTCTATAGTCTAGTCTATAGTCTAGTCTATAGTCTAGTCTATAGTCTAGTCTATAGTCTAGTCTATAGTCTAGTCTATAGTCTAGTCTATAGTCTAGTCTATAGTCTAGTCTATAGTCTAGTCTATAGTCTAGTCTATAGTCTAGTCTATAGTCTAGTCTATAGTCTAGTCTATAGTCTAGTCTATAGTCTAGTCTATAGTCTAGTCTATAGTCTAGTCTATAGTCTAGTCTATAGTCTAGTCTATAGTCTAGTCTATAGTCTAGTCTATAGTCTAGTCTATAGTCTAGTCTATAGTCTAGTCTATAGTCTAGTCTATAGTCTAGTCTATAGTCTAGTCTATAGTCTAGTCTATAGTCTAGTCTATAGTCTAGTCTATAGTCTAGTCTATAGTCTAGTCTATAGTCTAGTCTATAGTCTAGTCTATGTCTAGTCTATAGTCTAGTCTAGTCTATAGTCTAGTCTATAGTCTAGTCTATAGTCTAGTCTATAGTCTAGTCTATAGTCTAGTCTATAGTCTAGTCTATAGTCTAGTCTATAGTCTAGTCTGTAGTCTAGTCTATAGTCTAGTCTATAGTCTACTCTATAGTCTACTCTATAGTCTAGTCTATAATCTAGTCTATAGTCTAGTCTATAGTCTAGTCTGTAGTCTAGTCTATAGTCTAGTCTATAGTCTAGTCTATAGTCTAGTCTATAGTCTAGTCTATAGTCTAGTCTATAGTCTAGTCTATAGTCTAGTCTATAGTCTAGTCTATAGTCTAGTCTATAGTCTAGTCTATAGTCTAGTCTATAGTCTAGTCTATAGTCTAGTCTATAGTCTAGTCTATAGTCTAGTCTATAGTCTAGTCTATAGTCTAGTCTATAGTCTAGTCTATAGTCTAGTCTATAGTCTAGTCTATAGTCTAGTCTATAGTCTAGTCTATAGTCTAGTCTATAGTCTAGTCTATAGTCTAGTCTATAGTCTAGTCTATAGTCTAGTCTATAGTCTAGTCTATAGTCTAGTCTATAGTCTAGTCTATAGTCTAGTCTATAGTCTAGTCTATAGTCTAGTCTATAGTCTAGTCTATAGTCTCGTATATAGTCTGGTCTATAGTCTAGTCTCTGTCTAGTCCTAGGTTGTGGTCTGTTCTGTAGTCTAGTCTGTAGTGTAGTCTATAGCCTAATCTATAGTCTAGTCTATAGTCTAGTCCTAGTTTATGGTATATTCTGTAGTCTCATCTATAGAATCTTTTTCTAATATTAAGCGTTTGCTTCGTCTCCAGTAAATTCTCCTATCTGGCGTTTACGCCCTTATTCACTTACATGCTTCTAACAATTAAAAAGAATAATAATACATACATACAAAATTCAGGTACAAAGTAAATTCATATGAATATTTTTATTTAACAATTTTTAAAATTAATAAGAAACTCCAGTATGTTCATTTATCCATTCCAAGTAGCTGGTAACACGAGTGAAGGCTGCTGGGTAACCCTTTTCACAACCCAAAATAGAACCGAAAGAAGTCAAAGCAATTTGAACACCGGTAGATTCCAAAACCAATGGACCGCCAGAATCACCACGGCAGGTGGAAATACCACCGGGAGTCTTAACACATAGATTGGATGAGGTAATGGTGCCACCGTAAGTTCTGGCACAAGCAGCATTGCTAATGACTTCCAAGCGAGCCCATTGCAAATCGTCGGTAACTTCGGTAGCAGCATCAGAAATAAGACCCCAACCAGAAGCAATAGCTTGCACACCGGCATAGGTAGGGTAGGAGCTGGCAATAGCGGGCAATTCAATGGGTTGAATCAAAGCGGTGTAAGCAGTTTCGGGAATCTTAACTAGGGAAATATCATTCTTCAACGATTGGAAACTCCATTCAGGATGGATGATGATATCGCTGGGATAAACGGTGTATTTAACTTCAGCCTCAGTGCGGAAGGTGGCACCCAAATAGACAGTAGCAGATTCAATATTGTCAGTGCAGTGAGCAGCAGTCAATACCCATTCGTTGCTGATCAAAGAACCACCACACCAGGAGTAGTGAGTATCATCGAGTTTCAAGGAAAGACCCACTTGATAGGGGAATTGTCCTACGGTGGCATCTTGACCATTGGTAATACGACCCTCAGTTTGAAAAGCAGGTGCAATAACACTGCGTGAACGGATTTCAGCAGCAGTAACCGAGGCCAAAGCCAAAGCGAAAACTATTAAGAATTTCATGTTGATCTAGTGAATTTAACAGAGAACTGATACTTTTCCTTGTTCTCTAAACCCTTTATATAGTGAATTTAAATTTTGGTAATTATGTATGCAAAAAAACTTTAGATGTCGAGATTATTTTAAAGTAATTTTAATGATAAGCTTCAATAAATTACTCATATTTGTACTTAACTAATTATTTTTGTTTATTTATGTATATTTTATTGGGATAGTTCTAGTAGTTTAGTTCTATTGATAACAGATAATTTGAACATTAAAAACATACGTGTGAAATTTCAAGTTTACCATACGATTTCTTACAATTGAAAAATCAATAGATTAAAGACTTTTAAGATAATAAATTTAATGCATATTGCAGATTAAATATATTATACCTATTTGTGGCCTTCATAATCGTTGTCGTATCGTCGTTTTGTTGTATGTTAAAAATAATTTTCAAATTTTTAAGTAGAAACAGCATTGCTTGATAATTTAAACAATTTATGCTAAGATTTTGATCAGGATTATTCCATTTATATTAAGTGTTATCGAGTTTAAGTTTTGAATTTGGACCCCTGGCTCACCAGGGGTTTTAAAAGTAGACACAGATTTTAATATCATAGTCAAAGAAAAAATTTCGAATACTGAAACGCCCATTTTTGAACTTTGTTTTTATTGTAAACAAAATATGTTTAACTTACAACAATAAAACGATATGATACCGTTCGTGAGTTCATCATATATGTGTGAAAGTCTGCAAAATGTATTAAATTTATTATCTTAAAATGACTGTAATATCTCTTAAATCTATTGATTTTTTCCAATTATCAGATGTTGTATGCCAAATTGGGAATTTCACACATTTTTTGTTAATATTCAAATCTAAGTATGAAGAAATTTAACTACTAAACACAAGAACTAACCCAATATGTATATTCCCTAATCTATTGATTAAAACCTTAAACTTATCACTAATATTATTTAAAATTAATCTACACATCTAAAGTTTTTTGCATACATAATTATCAAAATTTAAATTCACTATATAAAGGGTTTAGAGAACAAGGAAAAGTATCAGTTCTCTGTTAAATTTGCTAGATCAACATGAAATTCTTAATAGTTTTCGCTTTGGCTTTGGCCTCGGTTACTGCTGCTGAAATCCGTTCACGCAGTGTTATTGCACCTGCTTTTCAAACTGAGGGTCGTATTACCAATGGTCAAGATGCCACCGTCGGACAATTCCCCTATCAAGTGGGTCTTTCCTTGAAACTCGATGATACTCACTACTCCTGGTGTGGTGGTTCTTTGATCAGCAACGAATGGGTATTGACTGCTGCTCACTGCACTGACAATATTGAATCTGCTACTGTCTATTTGGGTGCCACCTTCCGCACTGATGCTGAAGTTAAATACACCGTTTATCCTAGCGATATCATCATCCATCCTGAATGGAGTTTCCAATCGTTGAAGAATGATATTTCCCTAGTTAAGATTCCCGAAACTGCTTACACCGCTTTGATTCAACCCATTGAATTGCCCGCTATTGCCAGCACCTACCCTACCTATGCAGGTGTGCAAGCTATTGCTTCTGGTTGGGGTCTTATTTCTGATGCTGCTACCGAAGTTACCGACGATTTGCAATGGGCTCGCTTGGAAGTCATTAGCAATGCTGCTTGTGCCAGAACTTACGGTGGCACCATTACCTCATCCAATCTATGTGTTAAGACCCCCGGTGGTATTTCCACCTGCCGTGGTGATTCTGGCGGTCCATTGGTTTTGGAATCTACCGGTGTTCAAATTGCTTTGACTTCTTTCGGTTCTATTTTGGGCTGTGAAAAGGGTTACCCTGCTGCCTTCACTCGCGTTACCAGCTACTTGGAATGGATAAAAGAACATACTGGAGTTTCTTATTAAGTTGATGTTTTATTTTGAAGAGTTACTTACTTAAGTTAAATAAAAAAATTCTTATGAATTTACTTTGTACCTGAATTTTCTGTGTATTATTTTTCTGGATTAGTTGTTTTATTCAGCAGCAAACTTTGTCAAAGTCTTTAAATGAAATTCCTTTGTAGCTTTTTTTATCCTCTGCAATATAGATTTTGGATCTTAGTTGTGTATATTTAAATCATCACGCATAGAGTAAACTTTATATCAAAAAACTTCGGCAATCGTACTAGTTCCCTCGGTTTGCTGGTACCCTATTAAGCCTTCACTTCACTTAAAAATCCATCATTATCTTATAAACTGAAATTACCGCTTCTTTTAGCTTTAATTTTGGTTAGGTTAGAGGATGTATATTTCATCAGAACCGCAAAAATACACCTAGGCCGCCATGGCGCTTGTTATAAGCATTTTAGTACCCTTGTATAGCGACCTACGAAACTAATTATAGTCCAATGTTAGGAAACTCTGTTTGTTGGTCATAACTCTGCAAAAAATGCGACTACTCCCCATACGCGTGTAAAGAGTGTTCCTAAAAGGGCCAGGACTGGTCCAAAACTAATCCAAATATATGAAATAAACATTCTCCATTTAACATTGTAATGTCCTCGGTGAGGACCACGTAATCCACCCATACATTACATCGGAGTAATCCTTAAACTTCAACTACCTTGTTAAAATTATGGGAGTACATGACCCGCAACGCTATTCCCTGTAGTGCAGCCTATGGATCATGTTCCATGCCTGCATTACATACGACTATTAATCGAATCATGTACTTAAATAATGTTTACAGAGGAGTAGTTTTGGAAGTACCTTAATGGTCACATGTACTCCAATAATATTTGCAGGGTAATTCATTAGTATCTTCCAGTCAGTATTCCTGAGGGATGTAATATCTATAATAACCTTGGTCCCGGAATATTTGGATATAGTTTTGATGAATTACTGGCAATAAAGGAGAAAGTATTGAGACGATTCAGTATGCGCTGCATTCATCTGAATTCATTTGTTAGTTTTTTGAAGTTGTTCTTGCAAACCTGTGTATCCATTAAGAATAAGTTTCCTCTGAAGAAGCTCTCATCTTGCTCTCGTTGGGGTCAAACTGGTTAGGGTCAAACTATAGTAATCCTATTCAATCAAGTGGGTAGAACCACTACTACCCACTTGATTGAATGGGATTCTATTGGTTATATAGTCGAACGGTTTTGCTTTCGTCATTTAAACTTTCTCAAGCTTCCCTCTTGTTATAAGAAGTACATGAAGAACTTTTGATGTTAATACGGATGGATTCATGATAATAGTTCTGTTCAGAACGTTTGAAACTTTCTATTTTACTAGGTAGAGGCAGCGAAGTTTGCCGGATATAGCTAGTATTATATAACAATTATAAATATTTTTGTAACCTTGAAAATAATATGCGTCAACATCTCTTAATATTTGAAAATATCTGATAAGAAATCTATGCTAAAAATAACACTAATTTTAATAAACAGATAAAACTGTCTGGGAGAGCTTATTCGAGAAAATGTTGGTACTCAAGAAGTAATCAACTTAAAATAAACAAATTTTGATTTATAACACACGATTTGTTATTTGTTTTACCTAAAGCAGTAAAACTTTTTTAATCAAAATTATTGGTAATCTATATTTAAAAATTTTACGATTTAATCTTAACATAACTATAAAGGTTTTGCTAAACTTAAGTGGGTTTTTTACACTTTTGTTTTTAATATTTCATATTATTACCGATAATATATAGAAAGCTTATCAGTACAAGAACTACCTCAACATGTTTGCCAACAAACTATAATTGTTTAAGTACAAATTTTGATAAATTATTAAAAACATAAACCTATCAGTTACAATATTTAAAATTAATCTGGACCTGAAAATCTATAGTTTTTTTTTTTTTTTTTTTTTGAATACATAATTATCAAAATTTAAATTTTCCTATATAAAGTGGTAAAAGCATAAGAAACGGTATCAGTCTTCAATAAAATTTACAAGATCAACATGAAATTTTTAATAGTTTTTGCTTTGGCTTTAGCCTCGGTTTCTGCTTCTGAAATCCTTTCACGCAGTATTATTGCTCCCGGCCTTGAGGGACGCATTACCAATGGCCACGATGCTACTGTGGGTCAATTCCCCTATCAGTTGGTCTTTCTCTGAAACTTGATGCCAACCGCTATGCCTGGTGCGGTGGTTCTTTGATCGGCAACGAATGGGTTTTGACTGCAGCTCACTGTACCGATGGTGTGGAGTCTGTTACTGTATACTTGGGTGCCACTTACCGTACCAGAGCTGAAGTCGAATACACCGTTAGTCCCAGCGATATCATCATCCATCCAGGCTGGAATAGCCAAATTGTTAAGAATGATATTTCCTTGATTAAGATCCCCGCTACTGCTTACACTGCCTTAATTCAACCCGTTGAATTGCCCGCTCTTGCCAGCTCTTATCCTTCCTTTACCGGTGATGAAGTTGTTGCTTCTGGTTGGGGTCGTATTTCTGACTCTGCTACCGGTGTTACTAACTATTTGCAATGGGCTCGCTTGCAAGTCATTAGCAATGCTGCCTGTGCTAGAACTTATGGCTCCACTGTTACTTCTTCCAACCTTTGTGTCAAGACTCCCGGTGGTGTTTCCACCTGTAAAGGTGATTCCGGTGGTCCATTGGTTTTGGAATCTACTGGCGTACAAGTAGGTTTGACTTCTTTCGGTTCTATTTTGGGCTGTGTAAAGGGTTTCCCTGCTGCTTTCACTCGTGTCACCAGCTACTTGGAATGGATCAATGCTCACACTGGAATCTCATATTAAGTACTTGATAAAATTTGGTTTAACGGATTTCAAATAAAACAAAATTTTAACGACGTTTTAATATTTTAATTAAAAAGGGTCGTAATGAACATTCTGAAATAAATCGCAAATAGTGGAAGCTTTACAAAGACCAGCCTAGTTCAAAAATAAGTCTAAGGTAGGGATCACTTGCAATAGTATTGAGACTAGTGTCAATCTAACTTTTTCTGGATAATTAATACAAATTGTTTTGCTTGGGTCCCATAATTTAATAACCAATCGTTTTAAACACAATTACTCGTTTTTATAATAAAAAATTATTTATTTTAAAAATCGTACAAAAACGCTTGAATTCGATTCCAACATACGTATTTATTTAGTGAGCAATACCAGTGTGTTCCTTAATCCATTCCAAGTAGCTGGTGACACGGGTGAAGGCAACTGGGTAACCCTTAGAGCAACCAGCAGCAGCGCCGAAAGAAGTCAAACCAACTTGAACCTTAGTGGTTTCCAAAACCAATGGGCCGCCGGAATCACCTTGACAGGTGGAAACAGCATTGGGAGTAGAAACGCAAATGTTGGAGGCGGTAACGGTACGGCCATAAGTTTTGGCACAAACAGAATTGGTGATGACTTCCATGACACCCCATTGCAAATCGGTGGCAACAGATGTAGCAGAATCACCCATAAGACCCCAACCGGAAGCAATAACCTTATCACCGGCGTAAGTGGAATAAGAGCTAGCAAGAGCGGGCAATTGAACGGGTTGAATTAAAGCGGTGTAAGCGGTGGAGGGGATCTTGATCAAGGAAATATCGTTCTTCAAAGTTTTGCTGTTCCAACCAGAGTGGATGATGACATCGCTAGGCTTAACGGTGTATTTAACTTGAGCCTGGGTACGTACGGTGGCACCCAAATAAACGGTCACAGATTTAACACCATCGGTACAGTGAGCAGCAGTCAATACCCATTGGTTGCCGATCAAAGAACCACCACACCAGGAGGAGGAGAGAGCGCCAAGTTTCAAGGACAAACCAACTTGATAGGGGAATTGACCTACAGCAGCATTATGGCCATTGGAAATGCGACCCTCTGGCTCTACCACAGGTACAACAACGTTGCGGGGTTGAATAACATCGCTGCGTAAATCGAAGGCTGAGGCGGTGGTCAAAGCCAAAGCGAAAACTACTAAGAATTTCATGTTGCTCTATTGAAACAATTTACAACTGATACCTCTCTTCCTCAATCGCACAGGTTTATATAGCAAATTTTTAATTTCTCCCTGAAGTATGCAATAGAACTACAGAAATAGCAAAAATTGATAAGACTGTGATTTTAATTAAATTTCCTCCAGGTGTTGGCCACACTTTCACCTAAGAACTTATGTTTTGTTGTTAGCAAGTAACTTGATTATGTTAGCGTGTTAATTAATTAAATTGCTGGAAGAATTCATATAAAAAAGAGATAATATTTGAAAGAGGTTTGAAAAAATCCCTGCACACGTTGGCTGATAGCACAATTAAAAACTATAGATTAAATCATAGTCTTAATTAAAAACTATACACTGTTTGACAAAAACTATGTATATCAAATAAAAGCTGATTTAGTGAACGTTTCTAATAAAATTGCCTGACGATAGTCTAGACTAAAAGGAAGACCACAGGTCAATAGACTGTAGAAAGGACTTTATAGCAGACTGGACTAAAGACTATAGACTACATTATCCCCCCCCCCAACTGACGACCAAGATCTAGACTAGACTATAGGACTAGACTATAGAGTAGCCTATCGAGTAGACTATCGAGTAGACTATAGACTAGACTATAGACTAGACTAAAGACTAGACTATAGACTAGACTATAGACTAGACTAGAGACTAGATTATAGACTAGACTATAGACTAGACTATAGACTAGACTATAGGCCTAGACTATAGACTAGACAGAGACTATGACATAGACTATAGACATAGACTAGACTACTAGTACTAGACTATCGACTAGACTATAGACTAGACTAGACTAGGACTATAGCTAGACTATAGACTAGACTATAGACTAGACTATAGACTCGACTATAAGACTAGGACTATAGACTAGACTATAGACTAGATCTATAGACTAGGACTATAGACTAGGGACTATAGACTAGACTATAGACTAGACTATAGACTAGACTATAGACTAGACTATAGACTAGACTATAGACTAGACTATAGACTAGACTATAGACTAGACTATAGACTAGACTATAGACTAGACTATAGACTAGACTATAGACTAGACTATAGACTAGACTATAGACTAGACTATAGACTAGACTATAGACTAGACTATAGACTAGACTATAGACTAGACTATAGACTAGACTATAGACTAGACTAGACTAGACTATAGACTAGACTATAGACTAGACTATAGACTAGACTATAGACTAGACTATAGACTAGCTACTATAGACTAGACTATAGACTAGACTATAGACTAGACTATAGACTAGACTACAGACTAGACTATAGACTAGACTATAGACTAGACTATAGACTAGACTATAGTCTAGACTATAGACTAGACTATAGTCTAGACTATAGACTAGACTATAGACTAGACTATAGACTAGACTATAGTCTAGACTATAGACTAGACTATAGACTAGACTATAGACTAGACTGTAGACTAGACTATAGACTAGACTATAGACTAGACTATAGACTAGACTATAGACTAGACTATAGACTAGAGTATAGACTAGACTATAGACTAGACTATAGACCAAACTATAGACCGGACTAATGACCAAACTAAGAGTATAACTAAACTATAACTACACTATAGACTAGACTGTAGACTAGACTATAAACTTGGTTTTAGGCCAGTTATTTTGTTATTGGAAATAGTCTAAAATTATCATAAAATCTATAACTTTTATTATTATCTAATAGCAAGTATTTGTTTGGGGTTTTGCCTGTTCCGTATATTAAATATTATCAGTTAAGAATATAAAAAATAACTTAGTCAAGAGCTACGACAACAAATTGTGCATTATCTTCTATTTTGGCAATTGAATTGGTTTTATTAAGAAAACTTTCCAAAAAGAAGAAATAAAACTAAATATAATTAAAAAGAAAGTGTTATCAGTTGTTAATACAATTTTCCAATCCATCCATAATTTACCAATATAGCGACTATAAATAGGTATTCGAGCACAGGGAAAGGTATCAGTTGTTTATTTCCTTTTGTAGAGCAACATGAAATTCTTAGTAGTTTTTGCTTTAGCTTTGGCCACAGCCTCAGCCTTCGATTTGCGCAGCGATATTATCCAACCCCGCAACGTTGTTGTACCTGTGGTAGAGCCAGAGGGTCGCATTTCCAATGGTCATAATGCTGCTGTAGGTCAATTCCCCTATCAAGTTGGTTTGTCCTTGAAACTTGGCGCTCTCTCCTCCTCCTGGTGTGGTGGTTCCTTGATCGGCAACCAATGGGTATTGACTGCTGCTCACTGTACCGATGGTGTTAAATCTGTGACCGTCTATTTGGGTGCCACCGTACGTACCCAGGCTCAAGTTAAATACACCGTTAATCCTAGCGATGTCATCATCCACTCTGGTTGGAACAGCAAAACTTTGAAGAACGATATTTCCTTGATCAAGATCCCCTCCACCGCTTACACCGCTTTGATTCAACCCGTTCAATTGCCCGCTCTTGCTAGCTCTTATTCCACTTACGCCGGTGATAAGGTTATTGCTTCCGGTTGGGGTCTTATGGGTGATTCTGCTACCTCTGTTGCCACCGATTTGCAATGGGGTGTCATGGAAGTCATCACCAATTCTGTTTGTGCCAAAACTTATGGCCGTACCGTTACCACCTCCAACATTTGCGTTTCTACTCCCAATGCTGTTTCCACCTGCCAAGGTGATTCCGGCGGCCCATTGGTTTTGGAAACCACTAAGGTTCAAGTTGGTTTGACTTCTTTCGGTGCTGCTGCTGGTTGCTCTAAGGGTTACCCAGTTGCCTTCACCCGTGTCACCAGCTACTTGGAATGGATTAAGGAACACACTGGTATTGCTCACTAAATTAAAATTATTTTCTAATTTTCAAAGCAAACAAAACTTAAAGTAAATAAACTATTCTAACGAATTTATCATAAATAGTTACAAATTTTGAGTGTTTTTGATTTCAAAGAAAAGTAATTCATTATTTATTCATTTGTTCAATTCATTTATATATGCCATTGATTTATTCGAACTGAATTCATTGTTGCACATAAATGAATTCATAGGAAGTTATCTGCAACAATTGTGTACAGAAATTATTATAAATCTATAGAATTTCCAATTGTATTTGTATTGTAAACTTTGAGACAATATCAAAATTTCCAATAAAATATCCATATAAATTGACAATCTTTTCATTGTAATTTTATGTTTATTTTTCGTATTTGGAAAAGATAAAATAAATCAACAACAAAAACAATTGCAAGTGGTAGGATAAAATCTTTCGCCTGCCAACTCCTTACACACAAACATATTCACAACAAAGAACTATAAAATGATTGAAACAATTGTTATGCCACATATCAAATGTGGAAATATCTTGACAGGTACGAGAGCAGCATGAAAAGGATTTAGTGTAGGCTAAAGATATACATAGTTCAAATATTAGGTGGTCTAGTCTGTAGTCTAGTCTAGTCTATAGTCTAGTTTATAGTCTAGTCTATAGACTATTCCATAGTTTAGTCTATAGTCTAGTCTATAGTATTGTCAATAGTCTAGTCCTTAGTCTAGTCTATAGTCTAGTCTATAGTCTAGTCTATAGTCTAGTCTATAGTCTAGTCTATAGTCTAGTCTATAGTCTAGTCTAGTCTATAGTCTAGTCTATAGTCTAGTCTATAGTCTAGTCTATAGTCTAGTCTATAGTCTAGTCTATAGTCTAGTCTATAGTCTAGTCTATAGTCTAGTCTATAGTCTAGTCTATAGTCTAGTCTATAGTCTAGTCTATAGTCTAGTCTATAGTCTAGTCTATAGTCTAGTCTATAGTCTAGTCTATAGTCTAGTCTATAGTCTAGTCTATAGTCTAGTCTATAGTCTAGTCTATAGTCTAGTCTATAGTCTAGTCTATAGTCTAGTCTATAGTCTAGTCTATAGTCTAGGTTATAGTCTAGTCTATAGTCTAGGTTATAGTCTAGTCTATAGTCTAGTCTATAGTCTAGTCTATAGTCTAGTCTATAGTCTAGTCTATAGTCTAGTCTAGTCTATAGTCTAATCTATAGTCTAGTCTATAGTCTAGTCTATAGTCTAGTCTATAGTCTAGTCTATAGTCTAGTCTATAGTCTAGTCTATAGTCTAGTCTATAGTCTAGTCTATAGTCTAGTCTATAGTCTAGTCTATAGTCTAGTCTATAGTCTAGTCTATAGTCTAGTCTATAGTCTAGTCTATAGTCTAGTCTATAGTCTAGTCTATAGTCTAGTCTATAGTCTAGTCTATAGTCTAGTCTATACACTAGTCTATAGTCTAGTCTATAGTCTAGTCTATAGTCTATAGTCTAGTCTATAGTCTAGTCTATAGTCTATAGTCTAGTCTATAGTCTAGTCTATAGTCTAGTCTATAGTCTAGTCTATAGTCTAGTCTATAGTCTAGTCTATAGTCTAGTCTATAGTCTAGTCTATAGTCTAGTCTATAGTCTAGTCTATAGTCTAGTCTATAGTCTAGTCTATAGTCTAGTCTATAGTCTAGTCTATAGTCTAGTCTATAGTCTAGTCTATAGTCTAGTCTATAGTCTAGTCTATAGTCTAGTCTATAGTCTAGTCTATAGTCTAGTCTATAGTCTAGTCTATAGTCTAGTCTATAGTCTAGTCTATAGTCTAGTCTATAGTCTAGTCTCTAGTCTATTCTATAGTATAGTCTATAGTCTAGTCCATAGTCTAGTCTATAGTCTAGTCCATAGTCTAGTCTATACTCTAGTCTATACTCTAGTCTATAGTCTAGTCTATAGTCTAGTCTATAGTCTAGTCTATAGTTTAGTCTATAGTCTAGTCTATAGTCTAGTCTATAGTCTAGTCTATAGTCTAGTCTATAGTCTAGTCTATAGTCTAGTCTATAGTCTAGTCTATAGTCTAGTTTATAGTCTAGTCTATAGTCTAGTCTATAGTCTAACCTATAGTCTAGTCTATAGTCTAGTCTATACTCTAGTCTATAGTCTAGTCTATAGTCTAGTCTATAGTCTAGTCTATAGTCTAGTCTATAGTCTAGTCTATAGTCAAGTCTATAGTCTAGTCTATAGTCTAGTCTATAGTCAAGTCTATAGTCTAGTCTATAGTCTAGTCTATAGTCTAGTCTATAGTCTGGTCTATAGTCTAGTCTATAGTCTAGTCTATAGTCTAGTCTTTTTGAAATACTTTTCATTACTACCCCTTAATTTACTTGCTCTTAATTCTACAAATTTGAACACAAAACTTAAGCCCTTTTATGGGTTTATGCCTAAATATGAAAGTGTGTATAAATACGTATGTATGTACATACAAGTAATATCTGCATGCAGAGGATGTATAGAATGATGATTCCAAACATTAAGCATATGATGACCATTGATTATGACCATTCATCCATTTAAACGTACGATGATGATGATAACATCTGCCCAACTACAAACCTAATGCACAACTACAATTACAAATAAATACAAATACAGGCGTATACAAATACCCACACACAAATTATTATATAGATACACATGTACAATGCAAACAACAGATTGCAAGACTATTACAGTAATAAATTGTAGATCGAAATGTTTTGAATTTGCTGTTGAAATCGATTGTTTAACAATATGTTGTGTATGGCTGGATACTATACTTCTATACGATAGGAAACGATTTCCATACAAGTTAAATTATTATATTTTGAGTAAATGGCTTTTCAATAAATGCAAATATAGTGAGATGAACAAGGACACATGCACATATAAATATACATGCAAATAGATTTTACATTTAAATAAATCAATCGACAAATATTTTATACAGTCGATGTAAGGAAAATTAAAATTTATTTAAATTCTATCGAAAGAAAATATAACAAGAAAATATTCATATGTTTTGCATCCTTTTGTTTCCTGTTGCTGTCAACTGTACAAATACATACATAAATACATATGTAGATTTCACCGCAGACACATGTATCCATAAAAATGAAATTAAAATTGAATTTACTATTATTGTTATAGTTGTTTGGGTCATTGGACACTGTGATAATGATGAGGATATTGATAACGATAATGTTGTTTGCTTACTTTAAAGAATTAGAAAAAAAATCACAAAAATAAATTGTGTTAATAAAAAACATATTGAATAACCAATTTGTAAAGACTACATTTTGTAAATTTTATAAACCAATAATCTGTACGGACAAGTAGCATGAAAAATGAAATGAAAATCTACTGGAAAACATTCGTACGCTCATAGACTCATAGACTCACAGACATACTTTAATTAACCTTATGTTGTGCACGTTAAATAAATTAAAAATTGAAAAAAAAAAAACAAAGTGAAATGAAATCTCTATAAAAAAATACATTTCAGTAAAATAACATGTTCAATTGATATGTTTTGCAGATTTTGCTGTCTGCCTGCCAGGGAGAACATATTGACGCCCACATGCTAAACTGAAAATATATAAAATCGAGACCTTTCAGAAGAAAATGTAACAAAAAATAATGAATTTTAAATCCTCTACTAAGGCTGGACTATAAAATAGACTATAGACTATAGACTAGACTATATAATACATCATAGACTAGCCTAAAGAATATACTATAGACCAAACTATATACTAGACTATAGACCAAACTATAGACTAGACTATAGCCTAGACTATAGACTAGACTATAGCCTAGACTATAGACTAGACCATAGACTAGACTATAGACTAGACTATAGACTAGACTATAGACTAGACTATAGACTAGACTATAGACTAGACTATAGACTAGACTATAGACTATACTATAGACTAGACTATAGACTAGACTATAGACTAGACTATAGACTAGACTATAGACTAGACTATAGACTAGACTATAGACTAGACTATAGACTAGACTATAGACTAGACTATAGACCAGACTATAAACTAGACTATAAACTAGACTATAGACTAGACTATAGACTAGACTATAGACTAGACTATAGACTAGACTATAGACTAGACTATAGACTAAACTATAGACTAGACTATAGACTAGACTATAGACTAGACTATAGACTAGACTATAGACTAGACTATAGACTAGACTATAGATTAGACTATAGACTAGCCTATAGACTAGACTAGACTAGACTATAGCCTAGACTATAGACTAGACTATAGACTAGACTATAACTAGACTATAGACGACTATAGACTAGACTATAGACTAGACTATAGACTAGACTATAGACTAGACTATAGATTAGACTATAGACTAGACTATAGATTAGACTATAGACTAGACTATAGACCAGACTATAGACCAGATAGACTATAGACTACTAGACTAGACTATAGACTAGACTATAGACTAGACTATAGACTAGACTATAGACTAGACTATAGACTAGACTATAGACTAGACTATAGACTAGACTATAGACTAGACTATAGACTAGACTATAGACTAGACTATAGACTAGACTATAGACTAGACTATAGACTAGACTATAGACTAGACTATAGACTAGACTATAGACTAGACTATAGACTAGACTATAGACTAGACTATAGACTAGACTATAGACTAGACTATAGACTAGACTATAGACTAGACTATAGACTAGACTATAGACTAGACTATAGACTAGACTATAGACTAGACTATAGACTAACTATAGACTAGACTATAGACTAGACTATAGACTAGACTATAGACTAGACTATAGACTAGACTATAGACTAGACTATAGACTAGACTATAGACTAGACTATAGACTAGACTATAGACTAGACTATAGACTAGACTATAGACTAGACTATAGACTAGACTATAGACTAGACTATAGACTAGACTATAGACTAGACTATAGACTAGACTATAGACTAGACTATAGACTAGACTATAGACTAGACTATAGACTAGACTATAGACTAGACTATAGACTAGACTATAGACTAGACTATAGACTAGAC